ACTCCAGAAGACTTCAATCTGTTTAGATGCTCCTCAAATTGTGATAAAATAGGGTGAGGTGCAGAGGGAAAGCTGTTGGATCGAACATGATAGAAACTGTGTGCGTTAGTTTCTATGGCTGCCATTTTTATCTGATCAATAGACAGAAGAACTGGAGATGATATGTACAGTTTTGTTCTAAGCTGAGTTTTTGTGGTTAGCTTCTTCTGATTATATAGCCAGAGAAATGAGAGAGACATGAAGAATATTTTGCTTTCCAAATGTCCAACGTTAAGCAGGCAATTATAGAAACTTGATTTGAATCTTTGAGCTTCGTAGGCATTGTTTGCGCAATGTTTCCCACTCACCAAGCTTCCTAACTCATATCTTAAACATTTAACTAAAGAATCAATTTGATTCATCTTCGTCTGATAGAATAATTTTGCAGTGTCTCCTCCATCATAACAACTTCAATATTGAAAATCTCAAATTAGTGAACAGCTTTAGGAAAGCCGCTGGAATGATCAGCATCTTTATGGCATCTTGTCTGGAGAAGAGATGCTATCTTTTTTCCCCCTCCCTTTGGTGTGCAATTTCTTTATACTTAAATAATACTAGTGTTAGCTATTTGTAATAGTGATTGAAAGCATGAGGAATCTTTTTATCTTAGTGATAATGCTATATCTCCTTCACAGGAACACTCCAACTCAGACTCCTACATGTTGGTTAAAATAATCATAGTGTTCTTCTTCGTTTTTATTGGATTTGGGAGATCCCATGTATTATTCTAATGCAATAATCTCATAAATAAACTGTCTTTTGCAGGCAACATATCATACAGCATTGATGAAGACTCATCAACTGCACATGTAGACAAAACCATAGAAATTATTTTAATTTTAAATCATAAGTAGGAGAGAGGAACCAAATTGTTGATTGAAAGCTTTCAATTATGGCCTATGCAACTCGAACCAATCACTATAATGCTTTATTTTTGTCGAGTTGACTTGAATAATAATTGAACCAATGTGGAACTACCAAGGTTTTCAATCATTTTGTCAGCATCTTAACCGTGAGCATGGGTAAGGGGGGAGCGGGGAATTGGGCCATTTGGTTAAGAAATTTTTAATTTGGTTCAAGAGAACTACAAATAGTTAATTATATTACCATTTTTTTTCTTAATGAACTCTACTTAAGAAAGATTAAAAACCAATGGAGAACTAAGATGCAGAGGATAAAGTAATTATAATATGATCAACAAGAAAGAGTATATTTCTGTAAAATAATAATAATCCAGCCCTTAATATAAGACCTATTTAACTAATTTGATTAGATTAAGGAAGTTAGGTAAGTTAGTTAATTATAAGAAGTATAACATGTTTTTTTTAAAATACCATAATCATCTTTTTAATATCCTCCCTCCCTCCCTCTTCTACTAGATTATAGTTGAGGGAGTATCCATATGAGTAATTTAGAAAAAATTGATAAATATGATAAATAGGTCTTATATTTAGAACCAAAATCAATTCAACTATTAGGTCCTACATTAAGGACCAGAGGAGTACATTGTAATCACATTAATGTACGTTTTATCAGACACTTATGGACAAAATTTGAATCTGGGTACTTCCAACTGTCGTATAGATTTCTGTCTTTCCCCCCTAGTGATTGAAGATATTGAGTGGGCAAACTCTGGTTCTAATCAATTTCCTTGAAAGATTCTCAACTCCTAACTCTAGATCCTGAATACACAGCTCCAAATTTTCCAAATGGATTTGAAAATTCTCCATGGATGAATGCTTGTCACTGATGGGAGACTTCAAAGACGCATCCACTTTTTCAAATTCATTTGTCTTCGATTCTTCAGAGTCACAGGCTATTCTCGTAGGCTGCATCATCTTCGTGATCGTTGACCATCTGCTTTGCTTTAATTCTCCCTTCAGATCACAAATAAAAAATAGCAAAACTTATAATGTGTTCACAGTTACATCTCTGGCTTGTTTCAAGATGCTAAGTGCAGACAAAGTCTCACTGTCTTTGTCGTTCGAAGAATTTTTGAAGATTCCTTTCAAATTTCCCAAGGCTTTTCTTATTGTCTTCTTCATCATCTTCCTTGAAGCCAAGTACTTTCCATCCTCAATTCTGCATCCAGCTTCAGTACCTCTCCTCCTGATAACAGACTGAAGTTCCTGAACGCTTTCCTTTGATTGTTGCAGGCAATCTTTGGCCATGCAGCAGATATCCAAGAGCATTAGAGATCCTTGAAGTAGTTGACCAACCGATTTTTCGTTGCATTCTGAGGCCAAGGATTGTTGGATGGTTGACAATTGAAGCAATTTATCTGTGAGGTCATGCAAATCCTGCAAGCCACTGAGTTTCTTGCCTATAGAACTTGAAGATGAAGAAGAAGCAGCTTCAGAAGATTTCAATCTGTTTAGATGCTCCTCAAATTGGATGATAGAAAAACTGTTGGATCGAGGATAGTCTTGTTTCTATGGCTGCCATTTTTCTCTTATCAATTAAAAGAAGACTTGGAGATGATATAGACGCTTTTGTTCTAATCTGAGTTCTTATGGCTGGCTCCCTCTGAATATATAGCTAGAGAAATGAGAGAGACATGAATAATATTTTGCTTTCCAAATGTCATACAGTGAGCAGGCAACTATAGAAACTTGACTTGGATCTTTGAGCTTCCATGGCACTGTTTGCGCAATTGTTTCCCACTCACCAAGCTTCCTATCTCATTTCTTAAATATTCAACTAAAGAATCACTCTGATTCATCTTCCACACAGATGAAATTCTTTTGCAGTGTCTCCTCCATCTTAACAAGTTGCAGATTTAAAATCTCAAAAACAGTGAACAGATATAGGACAAGCCACTGAAGTGATCAGCATCTTTGTGGGATCTTGTCTAAATAAGAGTTGCTATCTATATAATAATATTAATGTTGCCTTCGGATTAAAATACAGAGATGAACGTTTAAAAGAAATGAAAATCATAATGCAATGAAGGCCATCTGATCTTGAATTCAAATCTGCACAAATCAGAAACGATGACAGTGCAATATCTCCTGCACAGGAACACTCCAACTCAGACTCCTATATGTTTCTTCGACCCACCCTTAAAAGAATTGTAGGTGTTTTTCAATTTTATTGGACACACGAGTGAGATTCCAATTTCTTTACTTATTTATTTATTTTTCAAGCAATAATTGCATATATAAAACTGTCTTCTGCAGGTAACATATCATGCAGAATTTAATGAGATGACTACTGCACGTGTTGACAAATAATCACGATCATTATTTCTAGTTATGAATGAGAAGAAGAGATGTACGAAGAAATAATGATTAAAGAACAACTTTTTTCATTGCAAATTTGCAATTATGGCTCATACAACTTGAACGGACCAATCACTATGCTTGGGTAGGCAATAAAATTTGTTACGGGTGATTTATTTATGTCAAGTTGACTTGAATAATTGAACCCCATGCGGGACTGAAAAGGTTTTCAATTATTATCTCATCATCTTCTTTGTGCGCACGGCTAGGGGAAATGGGAATTAAACCATTAAGAAGTTAAGAAAATTTTAATTTGATTCAAAAATCCTCAAAATGGTATGTTAATTGTTTTTTTAAAATTAAAATTTTTGAAAGATCATTCTGCACATTGTATTGACCCAGAAAAAATCTGCTTTAAGCATGAGAAAAAATGGAGAATTGAGATGTGGAAGATGAAGTAACTGTAATTTGATCTCTAAGAATATGCATATATCATTAAAGGAGTAAGATGTAATCACATCTATGTACAATTGTCAGACAACTAGGAAAAATTTGATTTTGTTTTCAACTATTGGTTGAAGATATTGAGTAAAAACACTCTGGTTCTAATCAGTTGCCTAGAGAGGCTCTCAATTCCTTCTTCTAGATCCTGAATGCATAACTCCAAATTTCCCAAATGCGTTTGAAGATTCTGTACAGATGAATGCTTGTGACTGATGAGAGACTCCAAAGCTGCGTCCACCTCTTCAAATTCATTGATATCTGATTGTTCAGAGACACAAGTTATTTTCTTCGGCTGCATCAACTTTGAGATCACTGACCATCTTCTCTGCTTTAGATGTCTCTTTGAATCACTGACAAATAACAATAGAGACTCCAATGAGTTCACAGCGACTGCTTCTGCTTCTTTCAAGATGCTAAGCATGGACAAAGCCTCATTTTGTTCATTTGTAGAAGAATCTTTCAAGGTCCCTTTCAAATTTGCCAAGGCCTTTTTAATTTCCTTCTTCATCTTCTTCCTTGAAGCCAAGTATTTTCCACTCTCAATTGTGAAACCAGAAGTTTCAGATCCTCTCCTCCTAAGAACTGAGTGAAGTCCTTGAATAGTTTCCTTGGACTGCAGCAAGCAATCTTTAGCTGTGCAACAGATATCCAAAAGGACGAGAGATCCTTCAAGTAGTTTATCAACTGATTTTTCGTTGCATTCTTGGGCCAAGGCTTGTTTGATGGTTGACAATTGGAGCACCGTATCAGTGCAATCATACAAATCTTGCAAGCCACCAAGTTTGTGGCTTATAGAAGAGGAAGAAGAAGCGGCTTCAGAAGACTTCAATCTGTTTAGATGCCCCTCAAATTGTGATAAAACAGGGTGAGGGGCAGAAGGAAAGCTGTTGGATCGAATATGCATAGAGATTTTTGTGTTAGTTTCTATGGCTGCCATTTTCTCTTATCAGAAAACAGAAAGCTAGGAGATGAACTACAATGGTTGGCTTCTTCTGCATATATAGCTAGAGAAATGAGGGAGACAAGAATAATTTTTTTTCTAAATGTCACAGATTCGGGAGGCAATTATAGAATCATTATTTGGATCTTAGAGTTGCCACAGCATTGTTTCCGCTGTGCTTTCCCCTCACCAAGCTTCCTAGCGCATCCATCATTTTTTATCTAGGCAATCACATGAGTTCATCTGCCATAGATGGCATACTCTTGCAGTGTCTCCCCGGTCTTAACAACTTCCAGGTAATCTCAAAACATGAAGAACATAGGCAAAGCCACTGGAGTAAGCAGCATCTTTATGGGATCTTGTCTGCAGAAGAAGGAGGTTTTGCCTATTTACTAATACTGCTATACCATTAATCTAAGAACTTGTCTGCCTACAATTGGGTAAACTGGATTATTTAATTTTAATAATGCTTGATGGCCAGAGAAATTGCTTCATCTTCAAGATCTCAATGGTTGCTTCTGGGTGGAAATGTTTCTGCAGTGTTCCCTATTCATCATTAATTAATGGATGCTTAGAATTTTAATAAAATGTGTAACTGAGTTTGGGAAAATGAATATGCTTACTTTCTCATTAATGAATAAGAGTATTTATATACATGGAGTATCAACTAAATATACACACTGAATGTACAACTGACTTAGTTATAAATTACCTGAACTAACAAAATGTTAACTATCCTTCACAAAATGCACGTAACAAAAGGATTTTTTTTTTTTTTTATGCAGTTTGTTAGATAAACAAATATCGATGACTGGATGTTCGATTAAATGCTGTAGTAAATGAATTTTTATGTTTGATTACTTTGGTATTCATCTTATTCATTAGTTGTTATTGGATAGCATTTTAACTATATGTTTCTTTTTGGGATAAACAAAAGTTATTATATTACACTGTAATAAATTGGAAGACATGATTGATGTGAATTACAGATCACAAGGAAGTCTGCACCACATTATGTTCTGCTTCAGGGGCACTGTACCAGATAGTACTTGTAAATTGCAATAACATGAGGAAAGGATTAACCATTTCTATCAACATTGAATACTTAGAAATAAAAGAAGGCAGCATCATATGGTAACAAAAATTCTTACTACTGTTCTTGTTATAAAAAGATGGAATAAGTCTTTCATGTACAACTGGACTTGAGGAACTAAAATCCATAGCATTTACAAAAATTTCATGCCTCTGGCATGTTGAACTAATGATTAAGGATGTTAAGAAGGGAACTCTGATTCTGATCAAACGCCTGAACAGAAAATCAAGTCCTTCTTCAAGCTCATAGATTCTAGACTCCAATTTTTCCAACCGGTTCTGCAGATCGTTGACTTTTTCTGATTTTCTTTCCGTGTGGAACAAAGAGGACTGTAATTCAGCTTCAAGCTTTGCAAATTCATTACCATCTTCTGCTTCAAGTGTGCAAGAAGCTATCCTTTTTCCGTGTATTAGCTTTGAAACAATCTTCCAGCTTCCTACTTTTGATTGTGTTGTTCCCGAAATATACCTCAAGAGTGATTCAAATACAGAAAGCGTGATCACTTCACCATCTTTTAACAAGCTAAGCAATGCCATCATTTCAGAGTCTTTGTTGGTGAGAGAGGAAGTGCATTTACTTTCACCTCTCTTCAAATTCACCAAGGCCTTCAAGATGGCTTTCTTCACCACCTTTCTAGAGGTCAAGAATTTCTTTGCCTCAACTAGAAGCTCCATTTCACCTCGCCTTCTTTGTCTTCTTACAATCGAATGAAGTTCCCGGGTGCACTCTTTTGTGTGAAGTAGCGCATCTTTGACAGATGTACACGCATCTAGGAGCCTTAAAGACCCATCCAAAGCTCATCTACCCATTTTTCTTGAGGTTCTCGTGCAAATGCTTCTTGAGTTGTGCCGAGTTGAACTATTTGTTTTCAATGAAACATGCAAATCAAGTAGGCAACTCGGCTTGAAGCTGAGTGATAGAAGAAGATGTGGAAAGAGATGATCTTAATGTGGCCAAGTGCTCTTTGCATTGTAGAATGAGAGGGTGTGATTTTGAGGGCAAACTGTTAGAACGAGCATGATTATGGGGTTTTTGGTTCAAAAGAGAGGCATCCATTTTTCCTCAAGAGAGAAAAAAAATGTTGATTTTGAATGTGTTCAAATTGAATCATTGATTTGCCTTTTCATCTATATATATTGAGGATAGCAAAGGAGAGGACAAGAATCTAATTTTAACAAGTGCCATTAGGTACCAACTTATCTAGATTGAGCCAGAAATGATCAAAGATACGTTAGTGCTATGTCTCCCCAAGATAACCTTCACAACTCATACTTCTATTTTTTAAGATATTTGGCCTATATTTCCTCTCTTGTGCATTGAATCTTTCAAATACATCCTCACAATGGGGACAAAGGCGTAGCTTTGAAACTTCGTGCTGATATATTTGTATTTTGTCTTTTGCATAGATTGAAAGTGATGGATTTTATGAACTAGATAGGCTTCACTGTCCCACGATATATCCAAACATTATTCATCTACGGAAGGTACAAAGAGATTATTGCCAGCAAAATTTTTCTTGGGGTATAAATAATATAGTTGTTGTCTGTAGTGTACTATTGACCTTACGATGCTGTCTTTTCTAATGAGGAAGATAACGATACGTGGATTTTCTTGTCCTTAGAAAAGGAACATTCATTGCATTTGATTGTGAAATTTAAGTCCATGACTTATCATTGAGGGCAATGATATGTTTTGACAATTGTTCAATTACAAAATCTAAGGCATTAGCTTAATATTGATTCAAAACATTGGTTCAATACTATGTTTTCTTTTTGTTTTTGGTGCCTTGAAAGAACATAATAGGTTTAGAAACTTCAGGTTTAAATCAAATATCACATCTGTTTTTAGAGAAGTTAAAAAAACCCAATATGTTTAACCATAGGTAACCACTTTTACAGTTTTTTTTAATCCCTCAGCTCTCCTTTTATCTTATCTTGCAGAGTGACTTGATATCGGGGGAAAAAAGTGAAATATACAACATTTGAATCTCTGATCACAAAATTAAATAACAAATCAATACAATCACATTTATTCAAAATTACATGACAATTACATTCATTTCAGAAATGAACTCAGTGGTTGAAGATGTTGAGAAGAGAAACTCTAATTCTGATCAGACCCTTTTGAAGATTCTCGAATTCTTCCTCCAGATCCCGCAAAACTCAATTCCAAATTTTCCAAATGACTTTGAAAACTCTCAGTAGACACAACACTGCAATGCTTGTGACAGAGAAGAGACTCAAGCATTGTATCCAAGTTTTCAAATTCACTTGTATTTGCTCTTTCATAGTCACAAGCTACCCTTTTCGGCTGCATTAACTTGAATACTAATGACCATTTACTATGCTTGGACTGTCCAATTGAGGTACAGAAAAAAGATAACAAAGATTGAAGATGGGTCAAAGTGATGAGTTCTGTTTCTTTTAAGATTCTGATCATAGGCACAGACTCTTCACATTCTTTGTATGAACAGGTTAAACTGGTATCCTTCCTATATCCCTTCAAATTTTCTAAGGTCTTTCGAATCGCCTTCTTCACCTTCTTCCTCCATGACAAGAATTTCCTCATGGGAACCACTACTTGGCCACCTCTCCTCCGGCGAATAGCTGATTGGAGATCTTTTATGGTTTCCTTTGATTCTATGAGTGCTTCTTTGGCAGCATCAGAGAAATCTAAGAGTCTTACGGATAGCAGTTCCTCAACCAATGTTTCGCAGCATCCTCGAGCTAAGCCTTGCTGAGTTTTTGGCCATTGAAGCACCTGATTAATGCAGTCATGCAAGTCCTGCAAGCCAATAAGATTTTGGCATATTATTGATGAAGATGATGATGAAGAAGAGCTTGCTTCAGAAGACTTGAATCTTTGCAAATTCTCCACAAGCTGTAGTACAAGAGGGTGAGGGGCAGACGGTTCACTCTTGGAGCGACAGTGCAGAGAAATCTTGAAGTTTGCAGCCATGGCGGCCATGGAAGTTACTTGGGAGATGAAGGAGCTCTTTGTTAAGTCCTTCTGGTGCCATATTCTACGTATATAAATAAGCAAAGCCTTTGAGGGAGACAAGAGGAAGATATTCCTCCTCAAGTGTCAGCGAGTTGTCATTCACTATCCTTCAGCATGGAATCTTGTCACTGTCCGCGCATTGTTTCAGTTCAGTGATTTTCACAACTCAGGCGTTTTTCTCAATAGAGAATCTGCCATACATGGAGCTTTCAGAGAAAAAGGAATGTCTTAAAGTTATTGGCATTAATATCAATATGTCGATCAAAAAATCTTGAAGACTTTTTGTTCTCGAATCAGAAAAGGCTTCTCAGTCAAACTTACGGGCAACACGAGTAAACCTGTTTATTTGATAGGAAAAAAATAATAAGGTATAACACATGCATTAATTCCTTATCTTTTAGTTCCATACATTCCCGAAGAGTCCCCTTTGACATTCTCATCTTATACATATTCTCTTTATTGTTATTATTATGGTTAATTCTAGTTTCTAAGGCTAGTACTGGCACGCACAATGCTTGAGATTCCAGCATGTGTATATAATCCGTTAGTTAAGAGATGAAGAGGAAACAACTAGTCCGAACCTTCAAATTTGGAAGGGAAGGATGAATCGAGGCTTTGGCGGCATCGATTCCTCTTCTGGCGTCGTCCGTTCAGAATCAAGCGAGTTTGGCAGACAACACAAACACAAGTTGGAGATCACTCCATAAGTATAACATGTTCCATCTTCCAACGTTTGTTGTTTTGTTTCAATGCTCTAAAGCATCGGCCATTTTGGAAAGAAAAAGGAAAAAGTGCGTGAAGAATCCATAAAGAACAGGACCACAGGACATTGATGTAGATGTAGATATATGCCGCAGTACTCATTCTGATTGCTGCAAGATGATGATGGGCTTGAAAAGAACGAAGGGCAAGGAGAATCAAGATGATGGGAGTGAGACAAAGAAATGGTATAAAGATTATGAACAAGACGACAGAGCAAAATAAACATTGCGCGCCACCGTGAAACTAGCTTGTTAATACTTAATGTTGGGTGACGCAACTAACGCATGAACGAATACATTGTCCAGCGCCCACCCAAAAAAAAAAAAAGAATAAATTAGTATATACTCCTCTGGTCTTTAATATAGAATCTAATTCTTAAATTGATTTTAGTTCTAAATATAAGACCCATTTTTCATATTTATTAATTTTCTCTAAATTACCTCTATGGATACTTCCTCAACCATAATCAAGTAGAAAAAGGAGAAGATATTTAAAAAGATGATTATGATGTTTTAAGAAAAATGTGTCACTTTTCTTATAATTAACTAACTTACCTAACTTCCTTAATCTAATCAAATTAGTTAAATGGATCTTATATTAAAGACCGGATATGATATATCTGGCAGAAAAATATGAAACTGTCTATACGAGAATTGATACACAGATTGTATCTCATTTTTTATACTCATAATTTATTAATTTATAAGAGAGATAATATTTAGCTGATGGCGTAACTCGAGCGAATTACTTTTTCCACATGATTCTAAATAAAATCAAAATCAATCAAATTATAATTATAATTGTAAATTATATATAAAGATAAAAAGACAGTTTTGAGTATAATAATCTTTTAGTTTTATCTTAATAATAAATAAATTACATTCCACCATTTCATTTTCTAAAAAAATTAAGCGACTCATAATTCAAAAAAAATAAAAACTCGAAAAAAGGGAGAAATAGGGAAAAAATACAAGAAATTACTAAATCTCTAATTAAGTTTTTTAACAACACTTTATTTGATACAAACAATACTAAACTTACAAATGACAACGAATTTTTATTAACATTTCTTATTTAATATTTAGTAATTTTTCATTACTTTTTTGGTCATTTTTCCAATAACCAATGGATTCATGTTTGGAAGAAAAAATTTATGGTCTCCTAAATACATATCGAGATTCGAGAGAGGCTTATAATCAACAACTAACCTTCTCTGATCTTTAAGGTTTTCATATTTAGTTGATATCAAAGCAAAACACCTTTACCACAATAATGTGAGGATATGACTATGATTTTAATCATTACCTTAAATTAAAAGCTTAATATCAATTAATGTAAAAAATATTTGGCTTTGCTCCAATTAAGCCTGATAAAATTTGCAGAAAGGCGGGAAGCGCCGCCTGGCAAATAAATTTGGAAGCTCAATATGTAAAGCCACTCAGAACAGTTGGAACTATTCTTAACCTTAACTAAAATCAGCTTTACCCAACCACACCGGTGATAGAATTAAGGTGCTTGGAAGGTGCCAATACTTCGCATAAATCATAAATCAAGACAAAACTGACAAAACTCTCGTCACATTTCTTATTTGGTTCATCCACACATCCCCTTAATTATCAATTGACTCTAAGCAATTTCCCCCGAGAATTACGAATTTCTGCTGGGAGCTTGCAATTATGGCGATGTACCTCAGGAAACAGCATACTAACATTAACTACCCAAAACTAAGCGGTGACACTTGCCACTACTCAATAATAAATAGCAAAAGAAATTTACCGCTACGACATTGGTGATCCAACTTCGTTAAAATAGACGCCAAAATAAAATATAAAGTCATTTCACTCAATGCGACGCAAACGGCACAGCAAAAATCTAAATAAATAAAACATGTACTAAGTAAATATCAAGAACTGCGCTGATGAAATATAACACGAGAACTTGTCTCAAATGGAAAACAAAAATTCCTGGCCAAATCCACCAAGACTACTACGAGATAAGAAAAAACATGTGAGATACATCTAGGTGTTAGTGGCCCTAGTGTATATCTGCTGACTGGCATGTGAGGATACCATCCTGATTGCACCTCTCGCCATCAATTCTCTAATTGCCTTCCTTGCGAGCGATCCATTAATCTGCGAAGTACATATAGTTGTGCTCAAGAGGTGAGTGACAATCATCCACAGCAAAAAATGAAGATGCCAGTAATGATTTAATATAGTTCATGATCATGTGGGTTAAGGGGGCTGTAACTGTTATCAAAAGCATAAATTTCTTGCAACAGGATTTGTAATTTTTCAGTGTAGTTCAAGCTTAAACACAATGACATACGTTAACCCTGATTTTGATATCATAGCCCAACCATCAACCAATGATTGCATCCATCACAACTAGTACGTAATACATTTCAATGCCATTTATTTCAATGCATTGTGAAAACACGTGTGGGCATAGAGTCAGACGTTAAACTAGTATAGAATAGCAAAAAGGTGAAAGCGTTATATCTTGAATTCACGACCAAAACCGCGAGTGAAGTTAAACCTAATCCAACAAAACCATACTGCATGGTGGACAACATAAAGTCACTAAAAGCCCTGACTTCCTCCAACCAAATTATAAACTTCCTCTAACCATTTTGATATTCGCAGCTCACTCAGTCTTTTGCAGCTCCTAACTAGATAAAGCGTATCACTCCATAAAATCAGGATATTCTCATCAACAACCTCTCTAGCAACTAGCAGCTAAAGAGGGAAAACCTATAGTTACTAATGGACTTCAACCAATAAGATTTTTATTGAGGGAATAAATATGTATATCCTCAGGAACTTGTTAGTAGATCACAAACAACAGATCAAATCTTCCAGAACTGTTCATCAGAAGAATCGTTCGTAAACAGGAAAAATAGTACTCCTCCTGTCCTTAATATAAGAGTACATTAAGGACCGGAGGGGTATATGGATGACAGTTCAGAGGTTCTACCAAAACCAATACCAATAATGGACCAAATAGCATCTATACAAGCTATCTCACCGATATGAATGATATAACGCCTCAAAGGATAAAAGCAGTAAGAGAACAATACCCTCAAACGATCAGAGAGAATTGACGGAGTGATAAGCTTGTATTTGGGTGCCTCAGAGAGGAGCTTGTCATAGGTGGCCTGGTCAAAGAGCACCATGTTGTTCACCTTCTCCTTTTGCTTTCCCTTGCTCCACTTCTGTTAATCATAAACTCCATATTAGTATCACACAAACCCGTCTCTAGCATTTAATAGATAAAAAGAAAAGAAGGCTCCAATTCGTTAAGGATAACAAAGACAAGTCGATCCAAACCCCATCCAACAATGTTGTTTCAAGACAAAACGGAGTAAAGCATTAACAAGAAAACCAGACCTTCTTCTTCTGCTTGCCACCACCAGACTTGGCGGGTTTGGAGGAAGGTGGAGGACCCTTATCCTTCTTGGGAGCCTACAAGCGAAAACCGACCGCGTCATTATAGAAAAAGAGAGGCAACGTATAAAAGCGTAACCGGATAGCGATAATTGAGAGTGAAGATTGAACTACGATTTACCATCGAAGCGGTTCGAGCGTCGGACGGAAACTGTCTTCGGAGGCGAAAGCAGCAGAGCTAGCGACGATATAGGGAGGCGTCTGGGATGAGAGTGAACTAGGGTTTTTTCTTATAAGACAGAGATGCCAGCTGATCAAACTACCTTATTGGACTCTTGAGCAGATGGGCTTTGCCGCTTTGGTATATGGGAAGGTGCCCAATGAAATAATCTGGGCTACAGGCCCCATATTGTTTATTTGGGCTCGACTTTGGGCCCATTATCATGCTAGAACTCATCCAAGGGGAGATATTTCTTATTGGACTTAACTTTTAAATTGAGCTTCTTTTATCAGATAACTTGGACATGGGGCCCATGTGAGTATTTATTTGGGTTCCATTGGGGCCCCATTATCATGCTTAAGATCCTGTCAACCATGGAGAGGATCCGAAATCTAAGCTGGTAAAAAAACCCAAAAAAAAAAAAAAAAGAAAGAGAATCCCAAATCTAAGGTCTAGCGGCAATTTACCTTCAGCCACATATTTGTTTTTTGGCCAATATCATCCACATATATTTCTCTCTTCTCTTCCGTGCAATTTCTTTTTGTATAGAAAAACAATGAGTCTTGATCTTCAATAGTCACGAATTAGTTAGATGCAATAAATCAGAAATTATTGATTTAGAAAAAAGAATCCAAGTCCTAAAGCGAAGCACTAGGAAAAAACAAACGTAGTTTGGGTGTATCCCAAGCTCATTAAATTTGAACTATCTAGATGTAGATAATATAGATTTAAAATTTTTAATTAGTTATTTTTAATTAAAAAATTATTTCTTAAAAAATAATAATTAAAAGATTGCATTTGTTTTAGATTTTATACACATTAAAATAATTATTTTAACTAAATAAAATTAAAAAACTTAAATTTAGATAATCTAAATTAGATCTGAATAGTTCAGATCTAATAAGTTTGGATGATTAGGAAGCTAATTCCAGGAAACACCAAAGTGAAAGAGCAATATTATTTGTTAATATATGGCCACCAGATGAGAGATGATTGGGCTGCTGCTTGCATGGATATGCAGGACTCTAGTTCGGTTGCTACAGGGAAACGAATAAAGTGGGCCCTTTCAATTCCGCACGCTAGCGCTCCTTGAGGTTTAAGCAAGTATATGTGGGAATGACCAACGAGGATTGCTTCAAGTAGTAAGCAGTTTGGTATCGTTTAAGCGAGGTCTTGAATTCGAGTTTCAGTATATGCAGAAATTTCCGTTGGAAGACTCACCCACCACAGCCAGGTACGCGACACGGGTCAGATCCTGATTTAGTCTGAACAAAGCTCCGATGAACTGGGTAGGCAACAAAAAAAAAGTATATGAGGGAATGATTTTAGGTTCAATAATTCAGAAGCAGAAACCATATCCACAAGAGAAATTGAGAGATAAATGTACAGATTCTGAGGCCTTTGGATTTTCCCTTTTCTTTCAAAAATAATTTTAAAAACTGTATCAGCCACCTTACGCCTGAATCCAAAAGCTTCATCCTTTTTAGGCTGCCGTGGGGTCTTCTAATGCTGGGGGAAAGCCACAAGAGTTAGTGAGGCTGAGGGACCATTTAAAAGGCTCTTTATTTTTTCAAAGTGCCGAAGGAATATATTATATTATAATTCAAAGAAATAAAGGCGGCAAAAGGCAAAAGGAGTACGTGGCATTTTCTTACTAAGTAAGAAATGCATTTCAAATCAGAGAGGCGAGTACTGGCGGTTTCTATCTTAGTATACCTGCCATGCCCTCCAATCACAAACTGCCACCTCGCCTTTTTCATTTTTCCCCGCTAACCTTTGTAACTTTTAACTTTCTCTGATCAAAGCAGGTTGTCAATTGACCCGGATTTGCGTTACCTAAGTCCCCTCGACATTTGAAGAGGGAGAGAGAAAAAAACTCTCTCTATAAAATATTATTTCCGATCCTAATTATAAGAGTTAGTTAATTAATTTGAAGAGATTAAAAAAATAAATTGACTTAGTTATTTATCCTAAATAAGTGTTGTTTTTCCTAAAATATCCTTACTAATCAAGTGTATTGACTAGAACTATTATTGTTAGAATGGTTACTTTGGAATAAAATGTATAAATATGAGAGACAAAGTGGATTGGGGTCTTATATTTAGGACCAAAATAAAAATTAAACAAGATCTTATATTAAGAACTGGAAATAGTATATGTGTATGTATTATGAGAATTTACCTTGTAGTTATATATAGAGGGTAAACATAAATATATTTGTATAGTTAATTATTCATAAGCTAAGATGATTTACTGTACACTGTTCCACAACTTGGAGTGCTGGAGATAATAGTTAGGGCATTTAGCAAGAGGGATTATGGTATTTATTTTATGTACCTCAATTACCTAAACCAACATTAGAACCATTCTATTATTAGAATACGTAGCCATTTAAGCAAATAAAAAGGATTGGAGCCATCATGACCCTACAACCATTTTTTTCTTGGCAGTTGTTTAAAGTAAAGGAGTCGCAACATCTTTCATTTATTCAAAAGGAATCTTTAATCATTGGTTAATTAGTGAAGAAGTTAAAAATAATGTGTAATTTTGAATAAATTGATAAATCAAATTAGAAAGATGGATTATCATCCTTTCAGTTCATTTTTTTCAAAAAAAAATAAACTCTCTCCTTGGACTTTCAATGCCATGAAAATAAACATAATATGAAATTTCGTGAAGGAACAAATTAACACAATTTTTGTTGAGAAAAAACCTCAAAGTACATAGTGCCTTTCCATCTATAAATATACTAAAATTAGATCATCAATATACGTTTTAATTTGTTGTTTTCATTAATTCCGCTTATTCTTCATTGCTTTATGCAAGTTCCCTCTTCTAAAAATAGAGGAATCTTACCCAAAGGACTCAGAATAAAAATAAAAATAGAAAAAGGCTAAATGTTCGAGCAAAATATCTGCCTCCATTTTTCTGAGATGGAACCAATTGAAAAGTAAAAAACACAACTTTTTCGAGGTATAAATTCTAACTTATCCTTGTCATTATCAATTATTAACCATCAATCAATTATCAACTATCAACTATATTCTTAAAATCTTATAATACTTAATCTGTTTAAAAATGTATCGGGTATGACATTATTTGATCTAAATATATTCAATTATTAAAATTTAAATAATATCTTGATTGAAATTTGAATATATTTAATTAAATAGAGAGTATTATAATTAAATAAGATTTCAGTTGGAGGGTCAAATAGAAAATTAATGATTAATTTAGATTTTAATAATATCTTCATTAAAATTTAAATATATTGAATTAAATGGGAGCATCATTATTAAATGAAATTCCAATCAAAGGCTCAAATGAAAAAAAAAAAAGTAATTAATTTTAAATTTGAATAATATTTTAATTAGAATTTGAATGTATTGAATTAAATAGAAAGCATTATAATCAAATAGTATCTCCATTGGAGGTTTAAATGAATAAATAGATAATTAAGTGAATTTTGAGTTATCTAAGAGAAAGCAATCTATTAGACATGCTTCTAAATTTTTCTAAACACTTGCTAATCAAACTTAGTTAAAGGAAGTGTTGATTGACACAAAAAGAGAAAAATAAAGTAGATAATTGAATATATTATTAAAAAAGTAAAAGGGAACAGACCCTGCTGTCTCTATAAATAAAACCCGTGAGCATCCATTCGGAGAAATCCAATATGGAATAAGAACAAGAGCATCCTGCTACTTCCCACTTTGAAAACAGAGGAACTCTGTTTCTTCCATTCTCAAACACACAGCACATTCCATTTCTTATTCACTCTGTTCCTTCATTTTACTTTATTCCATGCTTTCAAGCCTTAAAATTGCTGCAGTGCTTTTTATAACTGCAGTTTCTGAATCCTTTCCTTCCGAATATATGATCCTTCCTGCTGAAACCAGCAAATGCCCAGTCCCTTTTGAGTGAGAAAACCTGTAAGTCCAATCCCTTCCTGGAAAATAATCCCTGGCTTGTTCTGAAATTTCCTACAGACATGGGTTCAATCAAATCCTACAACCTTAGAGCAGAGAAGGCGAAGGCAATCCATAAACATCGCCAGCTTCAAAAGATTGCAAGCTTTTTTCGGTTTGCTGAAGTGTGTGTTGTATTGGTTTTGATTTCGAGGCTCTCTTTCCAGCTTCCGATCGCCGTCAAGAACTCCAGCGAGTACTTTCGAGATGTTTCAGTCTTCATAGTTGACCCTCGGTTTGTCTTTCTGATTGGAAATGTCATAATCGTCGCGCTCTTCACTCTCTCCGGTCAGTTCTCAGCTCAGAACTCTGAATCAAAAAGTTTAGAGCCTGATTTTTACCAAGAGTTCGTCCAGAACAGCACAAGGAGCCTGGAGAAACAAAGCTTGAAAACAGAGTATGGCATGAAGAACCCAGAAATCTATGAAGATCTACCCAATAATTCCTCAGAAAAGCAGATAGTAACCACCGGGAGACTTGAAGGGAATCAGATCAAATACCGAGAAAATCAGAGCCCCAAGCATATAATCAGAGCAGAGAAAAATAAAAGCAAGAAAACAGAGGACACCACCAGCAGGAGCATGGAAGTGACAGTTTACAGAAGGTGTCAGAGTGGGAATTTACTCAGTGTGATGGGGAGTGAGGAATCCAAGCCTGTGCTTCGAAGATCAGAGACAGATAATAGCAGGAAGAAGGGTTCGTATCCAGAGGATGGTATGAGCAATGAGGAGTTTCGTCTCACTATAGAGGCTTTCATTGCCAGGCAACAGAGGCTGCGAATGGAAGAAGAGTCTTACGTAGCTTAAAACTCAGCATCACCACTGTGTATATTGCTTACTGTAATTGGGATGAACTTGCTTATGATTTTCTTTCTGCTTTTTCATTATATAAATACGATATAGATGTAATAGAAATGAACAAGATGGTTTGAACAGTTTATGAATCAAATCGGCTGTAAAGGTTGAAGTTTAGTACCCTGCCCAGACAGCTCAGTTTGTCTTTATAATTTCACGTGCATGATCTAGTCTAAATTTCACCTTTTCCCTCGCTGCAAATTTAAGTATTAAGGTTTGTCTTTCTCCAATCTACAATATACTCAAAATACTTTACTCAAGGTGATCCCCTATTGTCATAATGTTTCTGCTTTAAATAGACGGTATAATGCTCTCCTAATTGTTGGGTTTGAGTAGGTTTATCACTCACTTTGAGGTTTTTTTCCAGTTATTTTAAATTATCTATCTCGATTTATCAAAATAAATAGTCCATTATATAGGGATAAAGAAAGAAAAACATTTTTTTAAAAAGATATTAACCGGAGTTGTAATCTTAATTTTGTGTTCCCTGTTCAACCACGAGATGTGTGAATGGTATTACGGTCTTTGAGGGCTATTTAACTAATTTAAATAAATTTAAAAAAATTAGTCAAATTAATTGTTTGTAACAAATGAGCTGATTTTTTTAAAGTATCATTTTTCATGACAATTACCTTTAGATAGCAACCCCTTAACATATGTAATCAATTGGGATATTTAAGAGAATGAATTACAAATTTGGGAGATAAAGTACACTGAGATTATATATTTAAAACCAAATTTAAATTTTAACTGGTTCTTATATTAAAGATCGGAAGAGGTAGTATTTATTAGGTGTGTGATAGTCACATGATTAGAAAATTGATAGTAATATATGATAAATCCTTTCGGCGTAATTTAAAATATTTTGGTGTAAGTGACAAGTCTTTTAAGTATGGTTAATGTACAACTCTAATATGATATTAAGATCAGAGTCAGCCTGATTTGGAACCAAAGAAAAGAAAATCCCAATAATAAGCTTGATTAATACAACGTTTCAAATTCAAGAGTATTATCATAAAGCTTCTTTTACTGATGTCAGGTATTTATGTATATATCCATGTATTTAAAAAGAAATTAACCAAAAAAAAAATCTCTATTGTGATTTTAGGTGGAAAGAAAATCTAATGAAATTTGTCCATAATACACATGGATGCCATTCCTTCGTTGTAACATAAAGTGAGCGGGCATAATGATTAAAAAAAAGGAGAAGAAAAAAGGAAAAGAAAGAAAGAAGGCAAGTAGGAAGAAGGAAAGCAATTCCATTAGAGGATTCTGGAACGGTGCAGTTCTTGTCCCATCTGTAAAAGCAAATCCATCTTCAACCAAAAAGGAAGAAGCTGAAACCACATTCAGAGGGAAACAAGAAAGAGGCCGCGGATTTGTGTGTGTAAGTTCTTTCACTGTCTCACGCTAACCCCCTTTTCCTTCTCTTTCCTAATGTCTTTGATTTAATTAGACCAGTAAAAATTGTGGTCACTAGTAAACACAAGTGTTGAATTCTTAACTCCATCCCACTCATTTTTCTCTGGGGTCCGAACTCATAATCTGTCATTTAGCGAGGAGCTTTCATATTATCAGGCTATAAGATAATTCGCAACTTCCTTCCATTCTATATTAAACTCACACTCAAACAACAAGTGCAAGACATTTGTTATGTAGTTGCTATAGCAGCAGTTTCATGGGCGTGACCCGAACAAACTAAAACTTGTAAATCCATGTATATGGATGATAATCTGTGGCTTTGGTAACCCAACTTGATCCTTTTTTTGGTCTTTCTGTAATTTTCGTTCATCTTATTCTCTCTTCTACCAATCGTCCTGGTGAGACATAAAGTTGCAGCACCAAACTCAGAAACAGTTGGTGGGTGAGAGAACTCTGCTGAGTGCTGTAAGAATCAAAGTTGGAGGACAACGAAGGAGGAGCAGATGTTTGTTTACCACTAAAACATAAACATATATAAAAAGTGTCTTGTGTACTTGTTTGTGCTCAAATCTTCAAGTTTGGCGTAATTGGAATCTGAAAGTCTCTCAGCTTTTTGATATATATTCTGAGTTCTCTTTGCCCTCACATGCCCACAACAAAGAACCACATTCCATATGGATAAGTAGTAACCACGTGAAAGTGATTTGATATTCTTCTGCCGCTAAAAGGCAACATATATAAACATACAATATAAAGCTCTGGAAAACTTGCGCAGTAGGGATCATTCATAATTATTGTAATTGAGGTTAGAGGAATAAGAGATGGATTAATTATTTGAAGTAAAATAAAAGAAGAATCAAACACTATCAAAGGAATGATAAAACCTTACATTTCTTATTCCACAGCCTTACATACTACCTCCAATCTTAATTATAAGAATTAGTTGACTAATTTGAAGAAAATAAGAAAATAAATTAAGTTAGTTATTTGTAATAAATAGATATTGTCTTTTCTAAAAATATTTTTAATCAAATGCATTGTCTAAAACTATCATTATTAGAAAAACTACCTTAAAAAAATATACAAATATGAGTGACAAAGTGGATTGAAATCTTATATTTAAGATTAAAATAAAAATTAAAGTTATAAGGATCGGAGGAAGTAGTATATAGCTTTTACCATGAAGCTTCGGCTTCTTGACGGGAAAATCACCTGTGCATAATTTATTGGTGGCAGGTGACCTAACATGTTGAAAGTTTCTGGCCAAAGAAAAGGTTAATAAAGAAGAGTCGCTTTGATTCTCCATTTTCCCCCCACAGATTCTTTAGACCACTTACTGATTTGCTAAGTAATTGCTTCGCTCCTTTTTCTCTGGGCAGATCTTAAAATATTTTTTCAATTCTTAATTGTCTCGACAAGCACGTCCGTTTGTCATATATAGCTGCTCATTATTTCACTTGCCTTGTTTTAATTTAACATCTTAAGATCAGGTTAAAACATATACATATTTTAAGATGAAATTGCTAGCATGTTCTTAAAAAAATTTGAATTATACTCGTTTAATTTAGTTATAAATTGTATATTAGCAGTATAAGGTTTAAATAGTTGAATCTACGTCTTTTATTGTTTCTTGAAAAAAAAAATAACAAACACATAAGAAATTTAATTATTTTGTACCCAAAAAAATTCAAACATCTTTCTCCATAATACATAGATAATAACTATAAATTTGTAAATATTTTATAAACACATATATTTTAAATTTTGAATTTCACTTAAGGACGTAAAATAGTTTTTTTTAAAAAGTAAATAAAATGCAATACATTGCGAGGAAAATATTAAAAAATAAAAAAAATTAATATTTATAATTTATGACTAGCGTCACTTATAAGTAATACATCAATATACTAATTTTACATTAATATACATTGATTTTAAATAACAATAATGACTTTTTTAAAAAATTATGTATTTAGTATTGATATTGATGTATTATATATCTAATAGTTACAAGTTGGCAAAATATATACTACTTCTGGTTTTAAATATAAGAATTAGTTGATTAATTTGAATAATTTAAAAAAAATAAATTAAGTTAGTTATTTGTCAGTGTTGTCTTTTTTAAAATATCCTCACTAATCAAGTTTATTAACTAGAACTGCTATTATTAGAATGATTATCTTAAAAATATATATATAAATATGAGAGATAAAACATATTGAGATTTTATATTTAAAACTAAAATAAGTTCAGAGAAAATAATATATATCTTATTGGAAATAATATTGATACCCTTGTGCAACGAGTGAAACTTGGAGTCAGGACGTCACATGCATGGAAGGGTTGTCGTCGTCGTCATCGTAGTCAACACTCAACGAGTAAGTCAGCCCAGAAACTGTCTCACAAAATGACAATGTCGGCGACGAAAAACTGAGCCACTGGTCTTCAATTTCTTTATCTTTGCGTTCCAACATCTTCCGCATTCAACAATTCCCTCCAAGACCCTCGAATTTCAGTCTACAATGAGTGTCAAGACCTTCCAATTCCCTTCCACCCAAACCATTGTCTCCACCGCCGCCTCCGTCGCGGCCTCCGCCATGCTCTTTCGTTCACTCGCTCGGGAGTATCTACCTCGCGACCTTCAGTACTATATCTACTTCAAATTGCGAAAACTCTTTGCCTTGTTCTCTTCTGAATTCGTACTTGTCGTCGACGAATTCGAGGGCCTTGGCAATAACCACCTCTTCCAGGCCTTGGAGGTCTATCTCAGACCCCAGATTCATCCCAACACGAGAAGTTTTAGGGTCACCATGCCCAAGAAGGAGAACAAGATTTCCGTGGTGATGGAGAGGAACCAAGAAATCATCGAGAAGTTCAATGGGGTTGAACTCAGATGGAAATTGGTTTCCAAAAATATCCCATCCAAGTACATCCAAGCCCCAAGATCGGAGTATTATCCCTCGATTGAAAAATCTGAGCTTCGGTACTATGAGCTACGTTTCAACATGAAGTACAAGAATATGGTTTTATCCGAGTACTTGCCGTATGTTATGGAGCAAGCCAAGGAGCTGAAGGAAGAAAAAAAAACACTGAAGCTGTTCACTCTGAAAAGGGAGAGGGTTCGCTATATTGGAAGGCGTCCGGAAATGTGGCAGTCAGTGAATCTTGATCATCCCGCAACGTTTGACACATTGGCTATGGATTTGGAGGCGAAGCAGGGGATCATGGAGGATCTTGACAGGTTTTTGCAGAGGAAAGATTTCTATAGGAAAGTTGGGAAGGCTTGGAAAAGGGGATATTTGCTGTTTGGTCCTCCTGGAACAGGGAAATCCAGCTTGATTGGTGCAATGGCCAATTATCTCAACTTTGACATATATGACTTAGAGCTCACTGATATTAGGCGTAATTCTGAGTTGAGAAAGTTGTTGATTTCAACTGGGAATCGGTCCATACTTGTAGTGGAGGACATTGACTGTTCCCTTGATCTCCAAGACAGGCTTAAAAAAGCCAAAAAGCCCAAAGTTCCAGGTTACTCATATGAAGATCAAGAACCAAAGGTATTTTACATTTTCTTTTACCTAATGTTTCTCAAGAGCGCCTGATGACACTTTCTGAAAAACGATTTATTAGTTTTTGCTTGGGACTTCTAATGCTGATTGTCTCAATAAAGAATGAACAGCCGGGGGGGGAGAAAGAAACTATAGGAGGCATTTACAGAATTAACAGATGTACATGTTAGACTCCATCTATAAGGATATAAATAGTATGTACACGTTAGAAGTAGTCCAACAAGTCTGTTGTGTGATTCAGAACCCATGGTGATTGCATTTACAGGTGACTTTGTCGGCAGTGTTGAACTTCATAGATGGGTTGTGGTCAAGCTGTGGGGATGAAAGAATTATAGTGTTTACAACAAATCACAGAGACAGACTAGACCCTGCTCTGTTGAGACCTGGACGTATGGATGTTCACATCCACATGTCATATTGTAGCCCATGTGGGTTCAGAACGCTAGCTTCTAATTACCTTGGGATTACAGAGCACCCTCTCTTTGTTGAAGTTGAAAGGCTGATGAAGACCACCAATGTCACTCCTGCGGAGGTGGGTGAGGAGTTGCTGAAGAACGAGGACTCTGAACTGGCCTTGACAAGCCTCCTGGATCTGCTCAGACAGAAGGCTGGGCAAAGCCATGAACCAGAGTTACTCACCCCCATCTGAGAACTACACACAAAGCAACGGAAGGATCTAAAAGAAGGAAAAATTTAAGAAGATGAAGACTCTACACTTTTTTAATGTTAGTCTCACGTGATATGTGATATTCTGATTTCAGATAAAGTTTGCGTATTTTGGTTAATTACACGAAAATAATGAAGGTGAACATGACATTTCACAATGTATAAATAGAATGTAATGAACAAACGAAGAAAAGGGTAATACGAGGATTCGTTCGTGTTTTCCCATTCTCAGTGTGTCGCACCCAGATGAAAATAACTGTTACTTAAAAGTAAAATTTAATTATTCAATTAATTTGAAGAATTTAATTTTGTTCAAAAAAATACTTTTTTTTTCAATAAATGAAAATTTTAAACCATTCATATTGATTAGATGTTTAAAAAAGTCATTTCTTAACAGGGGAGAAATCGGATTTGTTTTTCATGAGCACAGTGGTTAATTACATTTTAAACTTGGTTAATTCGATATAATATTTCCCAACGCAATCCATGGTAATTCACCATTAACCTCTGAGTCAGTTTGTTTGACAGGAAGGTGCAGTCCCTGTCAAAGGCTATCTAAAGAGCGTGTGAGTGCCAAAGCTTTTGGTGAGTGGTTCTCTAATCTCTGGAGAAAGGAAAGTGTGCAGTTGCAGCAATGGAATGACGACAGGTATTGAATTTGCTTGCGAAGGAACGTGAGAAAATTGATGGATTTGAATAAAAAGTGCAAATTTGGGAGTCCAATTGGATAATAAAGGAAAGTTTCTTTCTTCTGGCCCAGATAATGAAAGCAATAGTTGTGTCTCCGTTCACTAATGAGAGCTCACCCAAAGCAGCTTTCTCATCTCACTGGACCCTGCCACTCAAAAGGTCCTATAATTCCCGAATAGCTTGAAGAAGGGGCAGATGAAGGTCTCTACACAGCCATTTTCAATTCTCTATGTTCCGGTGAGGATTATAACCTATGAGATCAAAATCAGAAGCCACAAACGAATCTATATCCTTCTTTGATGACTTTATCTTCAAAATCTGCATTCAAATTAGTCAACAATGAGAATATGGGTCAACTTCTGTGGCTGACTGCTTTATATATAAACGAAATGCAATCCCAAGAAATTATTATACGCACTGGAAAAGGTCTGGGTTGGTTCTGGAGCTGCTCCTGCAAAGACCTCACATAACTGCAGTAAACGTGTGCATCCCCAATGACATGGATGAAATCACCCGGAACAAGTTCTGACAAGAACAAGACGTGATGGTGTAAGGATTGATTAATCAGATAAGAAATGCCATGTTCTTCTAATCTTTGTTTTTCTTTTGGCTGGCTGTACTTATCTACAGCAATATCCATAACAAGTAATATAAATTTCTGTACCAAAAATTAAGAAATATAAAATTTACTATATTTCACATGATAGCCTAAGACCACTGAGAAACACCAGTCACACTCCCTTGCATACACACGTATTGAATCAAAATTCATTACTTACATACAAAATCAACGTCTTCAAGATCCCTAATTAACAGCCAAAATTGCGGTGCCAACACCAGTTAAACAGACAGTACTAAATCAGACTTGAGCCGAGTCCAAAACATAAAGCGCACACACTGTTCATACGCCTAATGGAGCCTCGAAGGGTATCAAACGTGAAGATAGCATCACCTACAACTAGCCTATGGTCATCTACAACCAGATAGATGACACACAACACTTAACAAAACACCCCCCCCCAAAAAAAAAAAACTCAGTTTAATTGCCGACATATTAAAGACCATAAGAAAGGGCAGAGGCTTGTCATACCACAAACATGAGCTATCATGCATGTCAGGAGGGCATAAGATGCCATGTTAAATGGTACGCCAAGGCCCATGTCAGCAGATCGCTGATACATTTGGCAGGATAACTCCCCATTTGCTACATAGAACTGCAAAGAGATATAGAAGAAGCTTATAAAAGTGTGAGGAAGGAAGTGGCAGGCAATGTGACAGCTTTCAAAGAGACCCAAACCTGTGCAGACATGTGGCAGGGTGGAAGTGCCATCAATTTTAGATCGGCTGGATTCCATGCTGAGAGGATAATCCGCCGATCATCAGGATTATTCTTTATCTTGTTAATAACATCCAAAAGCTGATCAAATCCTTGCCCCGAGTAGTCAGAATGCATCCCAGTATAACTATAAATATTAAGATGGTAAAACAACAGAGATGTCCTTTAAGTCCCACACAAAATAGAGGAGGATATACAACCCACCTACCTTGCACCGAAGTGCCTCCGCTGAAACCCATATATAGGTCCTAAATCACCATCCTCCCTCTCTGTCAAACCAATACTGTAATATAAGCATCAATCCAGTTAGTCGCAGCAAAGAAAAGAAAACAGGAAAGATGTATGTATTAGTCAATTGCGAACCTATCAAGGCATTCTTTGGATGCATTGCCATCCCATATGCAGATGCCTTTTTCCTGCAGCACCTGTCAACAAAACATCTTTTCAGAAGGGTTCATAACCTCATATACTAAAAGCCAACAAGAGATTCTTTGAGAATTTGAAAATTTAAAAGCAAAACAAGGGCAAATCACAGATTTTTGCTGATAGTTTAGTTCAGCACCATGTAATATTATGGTCTTTTTAATACCTTGGCATTTGTTGAACCACTTATAAACCAAAGAAGCTCTTCAACAACCCCTCGCCAAAATACTTTCTGAGGACAAAATGAAGAAATTATGTCAAATTTTTATTAACATGTGAAGTAAACATTCGTCTTCCCTAATAAAACTCTGATGCATAAACATAGAAAGTAATTAAAACAAATCCACATAAAAAGGCAAAAAATGAAAAAAAAAAAAATCAATTAAATTATTTTGGACAAAAGATATCTTAAATAAAAATGCATACATGCCTTAGTTGTTAGAAGAGGAAAGCTTTTACGTAGATTGAACCTCATCTGTAGAAACATAGACATAAGAAGTCAGCATTTATGTGATAGAAACCCCTTACTAAACGAATAGAACATTACCTGGCAACCAGGTTTCGATAAGATGCCAGTCCCTGTCCTATCATACTTACGAGTTCCTTCAGAGATGATTTCTTGAATCAGTCTAAGATACACGTACTCCTCGTGTCTCTCAAAAATCATTTTAGGAAGGAAAGAGAATTTATTGGCCCCAATTTTTGTGGAATCTGATGTACAATCAGAATTAGTATCAGCATTCCGATTAAGGTGGTTGGCTGCAGAACTCCTCACACGCACATAAGTGGTGAAAGAATAACGAGTGTTGTTCTCCACCATAGGAAAAGATGAGTACCATGGCCGGAAAACTGAGGAGTCAATCGGAGGCATGAAAGTGTCGCACTCAATACTTGTCTCAATTTCTGTAATGTGGATAGCTTCACAACTAGGTGCATTAAGAGCCTCTCTGTAAATGGAAATTATAAGTTACAACAGAAAGACGCTTAATAAAAATGTGATTTGAGTTAGGAGAGAGGGAAAAGGTCACTTTGAGGGGGAAAAACAAGATATACCTAAATATCTGGCCACCTCCTATAACAAATATTTTCTCAATTGATAGAGAGTAAGGAGAAGCAGCTAATAGTTCCAAAGCGGAAGACATGCTTCCACAGGTAACAACATTCTCTGTATTTACCATATCAAATCTTCCCGAGCGAGTAAGAACAACATTAAGACGACCGGGAAGAGGTCGGTTCTGAAGAGGGATACTCTCCCATGTTTTTCTACCCATTAAAACTGCGTTCTTCTTCCCAGGATCAGATGTGGCCTTAGTGATCTCCTTGAAAAATTTGAGATCACAGGGTAATCTCCAGGGTAATTTTCCATCCTTACCAATGCCCATATCCAGGGTCGCAGCCACTACCACTTGGTATGTCCTCTGTGAATTAAGTGGTGAACTTACATTGACATTGCCATCGGGAATTACACAAGAACCACTGGCCATATTAGAATTAGAACCTACATAACGGCAGAAACTTGATGGCAATGTCTGTAGACAGGGACTGCACAACCAATTGTTTTGGAAGTGCAGTGGAGCCTGAAACCACGACTTAAAAAATATAAAATTAACTCTATTACATGACATCACTTGCGTGCAAATGGATCGTAAATAAGCACCAGCCTCTATTCGCGAAAATGCAGCAGCGGTGTCAGATACATTACCCAACAAAAAATCACAAGACCCGTGTGCGAAGAAGGGCCACAAACCTTCAGGAAAAATTTACCTTTCGGAACAAATCAATAATACCAAAGCCAAAATCACAAAAATAAATTATCATTTTTGAGATTGAGCTAACGAGAAGTGGAGCCAATGGGCATTTGATCGAAAAAGCGGGTAGCGAGCGAGAGGTATAAATCGTAAGCTACAGTCTGAGAGTTCACACTTCACACTTTGATAGAAAAAATGATTTTTTTAAAAGGAGATTTCCCCCCGAGGAAAAAAGAGGAACAAATGTCCAGGCCAAAACCACTGTGGATATAGTTACCGCCCAGTGCCGCCAATTGCAGACCGGGCTATGAATGTCCGTACGATACGATGCCATGAGGTGGGGTGTTCTCCTTTTTTGCATAAATCATAAATGCGACGACTTTCTTTTCAGTATAAATTAAATTTTGCAAATATATATATTAGGAAAAATGGTAAAAAAAAGACTGTGAAAATAAAAAAAATTACTAATAGAGACCATGACAATACTAGTCTGGGATTTGATGATAATAGTATGAGTTTTGACGATAATTTTTATAAACGGGTTCCTATATGCAATTTTTTAATTTTAAAGGTCTCTCTTCGAAAGTCACTTTAATTAACTTCACCGAACAAAAAAAAAAAAAAAGAATTGTTAGTTTAGCTCATTAAATCTCTTTCAAATTGCAATTTTTTTTCTAACTCTACCTATAAATGAGGCTGTGGAGAGGGGAAAAAAATGCGAGGAATCATATTTAAATATTAATTATAAAAATAAAATTAACAAATAAGTATTAATTACACTCTAATTAACTTGTATTTTAAACTAAGTTATTATTTTACAAAGCCATTTATATTGTAAATTAAAGGAAGTATAGCATTGTCAATGGTGTATTCGAATGGCTGGTTAAGAGGCATATTTGAAGTAACAGCGATATTTCAAAAAATTATGTCTGCGAGTTATCACCTGGCAAAATTTTTAAGCGACTGTTGTTAAGTTTCTCAAAGCTCTGTAGTTAACAGAGTTCGTGACATTTTTTTTTCCATATGATTTCGTGAGTGTGATTTTATTTTTTTAACCACATTTGTGGGTATGATTTTGGGTATATGAAGAAATAAACTATTTTCTCCTCCAAAAGTAAAACGGGGTTAATTTAAAAGAAGAAGAAGAAAAAAAACTTGCAGGGAAAAATAGCTAATTTTACTCTATGTTTGATACAGGCGAAATGGGGAGAGAGAGAGAGTTAAGGGAGGAAAAATTTTAACAAGCTTGATTTAAGAAATAAGAGAAGTATGATCTTAAAATTTTAATAAAAATAAGATATAAAATAAAAGAGTAATGAAAATTAATTAAAAGTTTCTAACCCTACTTCTTTAATTTTTTTTAAAATTAACCTATTGAAATTTTTCCTCCCCTTCTCCTCTCCATTTTCCTCATGCGAAACAGCTCCTCTCCATTTACCTTGTACAGAAGGGACCTTAGTGTATTTAACATTTGCAAAAGAAGTTTTTTTTTTTTAACAGAAAATAATTTATCCGATATATTATAGCACTTGGTCAAACTCTTTTTCATAATGCATAGTTTAAAATTATATGACATTTTAAAATATTTATTTAAAAATGCCGCACCTCTATCAAATTATTTAAAATATACTACCTCCGGTCCTTAATATAAAACCCTGTTTGACTTTTATTTTGATCCTAAATATAAGACCCCAATCCATTTTGTCTCTCATATTTATTCAATTTTTTTCAAGATAATCCTTCTAATAATTATAGTTCTAGTTAATACACTTGATTAGTAAGGATATTTTAGGAAAGACAACACATATTTAGGACAAATAATTAACTCAACTTACTTCTTTAATCTCTTTAAATTAGTCAACTGGCTCTTATAATTAGGACGGAGGTAGTATTATATTTTGGGAGGCTAGAGAGCCGGTATTGGAACTTCCGGATGGATGAGTTCGTTAGTTAGTTAGGCGTCGTGCTGAAGAATATGAGCGGAGCTGCTTGCACATCGCTAAAGCTGAACACTTTCTGTTACGTCGTGGCGAAACCGAATCTTAAAAATGGTTAAATAGGTCATCTCAAAACGACCACGTCAATTTAGCAGCATCAATAAACAGAATTGGCATTTCAGAAGCACTAAATCGAGTAGAGCCATTCTGGGGTGTTCCTTTTTATCCTCTTTTCATGGTCCTTTTGAGTTGGGAAATTTTGAGATCTTAAATATATGCGTTCCTCTTTTTTATTTTGGAATCTCCTCCTATATTCATGTCATAAAGGTATATCTATTGTCTCTTACCACTCCTCTCTTGACTAAATTATGATTCATTTAAAACTTCACGAGCTCAGAAAAACACCCTTTTAGCGATTTCTAGCTGCATGCGCTTCATATAATCTTCCAGTTTTCCCTATTTCTCTGTTGTTTCTGCGTTTTCTTTTTCTGTGCATGCCAAATGAAGGTTGGCTTCTTTATTGCTGAAAGATTTGGTCAAGTCTTGTCTGACTTTATCATTTCGTTTCTTGGCTTAAGGTGAAACTTCAATTCTGGGCATATAGTTAAATCTGAGGAGTCAATTCCAATTGGAGTAAGCTTGCTGGATTCGTTAATCATGTGTGAGACTATGTCTATGCCCATACCTACTGATCGATCCCTTAAAACGCGTAAGTGCATAATTTCCCTCGGCGTCTTTTTGCACAGAATTTTTCTCCTTTCCTGCATGTGCTCTTGGAAGACTTGTGTACCTTATGAGGGTTATTGATTAAGGGTCAACTAAATGCTAAAATGTGAAATTGCATCCTGACTGTTTTGGAAAATCTCTTATCTATGATGGTGAAATGAAAAGGAATGAAGATAGTTGAGGTGTTCTATGTGATATGAATCTTAATGTGCTGTTTATAAAGCATGCCTGGAGATGATATTGGCCTAGAAATGTCAACAGAAAAAACAGCGGCTTGTTGAACGATGCCTTCAAAATGTGAATTTCTTTCTTCCATTCATTCTATTTTCTAATTCAAACTTGGGAGAGTAAATGTTTTTTTTCCTTTTAAACAATCACAGTTATTGAAATGGATAAAGCTGAGGATGAAAGGAGGAAAAAGCTTGGAACCATAAAGAAGGCGGCATTAAGTGCCTCGTCCAAGTTCAGGCGTTCCCTGACAAGGAAAGGTCGGAGGAACAGCAGAGTTATGTCTGCTGGTTTTGAGAATGAACTTAACTTAGAAGAGTTGCAGGCAGTTGATGCCTTTCGCCAAGCTCTTGTCTTGGACGAGCTTTTTCTTGCCAAACATGATGATCATCATATGATGTTGAGGTAGCTAGCCAACTGCCAAAGTAACAATTTCTCCATCAGTAACTTCACTTCTTGGATCAATTAGTTTACTGTGTGATTATCCAGATTCTTGAGAGCAAGGAAATTCGATATTGAGAAAACAAAGCAAATGTGGGCAGATATGCTTCAGTGGAGAAAGGATTTTGGTGCTGACACTGTTATGGAGGTACTATTATTCGTCATTTTTGTTTTGTGTTCTTCAGTTTACATATGACAATTTTGGTTGATTTGTCTAACCTTAATGTCTTTGTTTTGATTAGGATTTTGAATTCCCAGAAATAGATGAAGTTTTGAAATACTACCCACAAGGGCATCACGGAGTTGACAAGGATGGACGACCTGTATACATTGAAAAACTGGGTCAGGTGGATCCAAATAAGCTGATGCAAGTAACAACTATGGACCGTTACATAAAGTACCATGTAAGAGAGTTTGAGAGGACCTTCGCTGTTAAGTTCCCTGCATGTTCTGTTGCTGCGAAGAAGCACATTGACCAGAGCACAACTATTTTGGACGTGCAAGGAGTGGTATGTGTGAAAATCTACATCTGTTTAGTTCTTCAGCCTCTTCGCAAAGATTTTTTTTTTTTTTGAGTAAAGCAAAAGAATCTCTTTAAAATGGTATTCCCATAATACTCATAAAGCATCTTCCATTTCCAATAAAAACTTGTGGAGATGTATCAATTACAATCGTTGGATTTGACATGTTAAAAAAGTTCCATAGAAGTTCTTACCGGCATGGTTCTTCAGGGACTTAAAAATTTCAACAAAGCTGCAAGAGAACTCATCCAGAGGCTTCAGAAGATTGATGGTGACAACTATCCTGAGGTACTACTTTAACCACAAAGGTTCTAGATTTTTTTTTTTTTTTTTAAAACATCAACCATTGTGATTTCCTTCCTGGCTAAAATAGAAAGTTTTGGGTACCTAGTGCACCGACGATATACAGATTAAGGCAGTCCCACAGTAAGGATGCCTAATACGATTACTTATCTTTTAATGATTGACTTAATCTGTCTATTTTTGGTAGACCAGGGCCACTTGAGTTTTTTTTTGGCTAAAATGGGATCCCTCTGATTTACCATATTTGAACTTCCATATTTACAGACACTAAACAGAATGTTTATCATCAATGCTGGTTCTGGATTTAGACTCTTGTGGAACACAATCAAGTCATTCCTTGATCCCAAGACAACTGCAAAAATCCATGTAAGGATGTAAATATATTCATTTTGAAAAGTTGTTGATTTCTGCAAAGTGGGGAGGTATTTAACAGATCGACGGTTTACTGAACAGGTTCTAGGTAACAAATACCAAGGCAAGTTGCTAGAGATCATTGATGCCAGGTAATTTTTGCTCCCTGTTCGTTGAAATATGCAATCTCTACTCCATGGATATTTAGGCCGTCTAATTAAGCCCTGCAGTGCCATTGTTTAAACCAAGTAACATAAAATTTTCCTGGCCAACCTGATTAATTATGGAATCGCCATAGGAATGACCCTTCAGCTATAAATAAAACCTTTTCCTATTTTATTTACCAGCGAACTTCCAGAGTTCTTGGGTGGTACTTGTACTTGTGCGGATAAAGGTGGTTGCATGCTTTCTGACAAAGGACCGTGGAACGATCCGGACATCTTGAGGGTAATTTAGTCTTGTCTGCTCAATTTCTTTAGCGAAGGAAAAAATTTGAAGTTTTTTCTTTTGATGAATTAGAGGGTCCAAAATCAAGAGGGAAAATGCAGGAGGAGACCCTTAGAAGGGATTCTTGAGAAGATAATCTGTGGAGATGACGAGCCATATCTAACGGTAGTCTTTATCTACCAACTTTGTTCTGAAACTATGCTTCTCTATATCTGTATTTTCTGGAAATACGTGTTAATTATTTCTTTTTTGTTGTCTGCAATGTTAAGGGATGCAATTCTTTCAACAAAAGATCGATGGAGCTTCCATTGCCAGAGGTTGACAATGCCGAACACTCCCCAGCGCCAGGAGTAAGTTTCTCAGAGTTCATTCTGTTGAAGTTGCTCCGTGGTATATCTTGAATGAAATAGAGTTTAAGGACGTACTACTTCCGGTCCTATTTAAGGATGTACTAGTTATTTGTTATAAATAGGTGTTGTTTTTCTTAAAATATCTTTGCTAATCAAGTATATTGGTTAGAACTACCATTACCAAAAAGACTATTTTGGGGAAAAAACAAATGTATAAATATGAGAAATAAAGTAGATTGGGGTTTTATATTTAGGGCCAAAATAAAAGTCAAATGATGTCTTATATTAAGGAACAAAGGTAGTAATAGATTAGCAATTCAGCTCCATGCAACTGATTAGTTATCTGGTAATGGTAGTTCACTCTACCTGTAAACCTGAGAAGCTATAATTGATGATAGAACAAGAGCAGTGGGAGCATAGTGAAGATAAATGCATTGTGAATACAGTCTATAGGTTTGCCTTCTTTTAATCCATGCCCTAAAAAACGAGGACAAGCTTCATTGATGAAATGCGAGACATATTTATGAGCATAAATTGACTTCTCCTTTTTTATGCGTACTCAATTAACTTTTTCTATTGTATTTCCACCAATAAATTGCAGATCATGAAGCAATACAGTGTCCATCGGTATGACGTGCACGGGGTTGACAAGCCAATGGATGCAGCTTGGGTAAAACCAGTACAAAATGATAAACTTGCAATCTCTAAAGGTATTTATTACAAATTGATAGTTAACTATAACAGGTTCTGTGCATTTGCATAGACTTTAAGATGAACCATGTTATTCACTATCTGTGAATAGTATAGGATGACTCTGTATTTTTTTATGTTCTATATCAATATATAGTTAATATTATTTGTCAAACTTGTGCTTTCTTTCAAAAATTGGACATATGCAAAATCTAGGTGGACATATAACCCTATCAGAATTGGATCTCACTGCATATCTCTAAGTTATTAGCTCGATTTACCCATCTTCGGCACATTATCATACATTTATATTTCTTTTTTTTTTCCCCCCTCCTCTTCCAACGGCTGCAGATATTTTCCCTGATGATGCTTACAAGACTTCTGTTGTACTCAACAATTCATTTATGAGTGGGATCATGGCCTTACTGATGGGAGTTTTAACAATGATCCGAATCACAAGGAACATACCGAGAAAACTCACTGAAGTGGCCTTCTATGACTGCTCAGTACACTGTGAGAGCACAAGAATGGAAGCATCAGGCATTTCCATTAATGATCACATGGCCCTGATTAAACGCGTAGCTAAACTAGAAGAGAAGGTGAGTGTTCTCAGCATAAAACCTTCCATGCCAAAAGAGAAGGAAGAACTTCTGAATGCTACTCTAAACAGAGTCAAAAGTCTTGAGCAAGAGTTAGCTGCATCTAAAAAGGTATTACTACTCGCTAGTTTCCCTTCATACTCGAATGTCATCATTATTAATGGACAAAAATATGATAAAAGAATTTTCATATCGTTTTGGACACTTTAGGCTCTTGATGAAGCCCTTGTTAGACACGACGAGCTGCAAGCCTCCATTGAGAAGAAGAGAAAGAAGAAAAAGAAGTTTGTAAGTCATCTAAACTCTTGATATCGATCGATTCCCCCAGATTCCGCATAAATTGTTATACATATACGTCAGTGTTTCTTCTGAAATAAATATCTTGAACCTCCAATCTGTTAGGGTTTATTCAGTTAATGCTAATCCACACATAATAACAATTTTCAAACATGAATTCTTCCCATCATAGTCATAGTTTTATTAATAAAAATATGGTGACAAGTGCTTTAAAAAAATGGATACACTCTTGAATAGAATCAAGTAAAAAGTGGTCTCACTTACACAAGTTATTGGGTTTGTGTTGCAGTTCCGCTGGTAGGGTTAAAATTGTGTTGCTACCTTCTGTGACAGCTCAGAGATTGAGTCCAAGGTTGAATTACGAAGTTGGCGGGTTGTTATTTACTTGTCTTCAGCCCCATCCGTGTCTTTTTCCTTTAACCCATCAATAACCTTAGTTTCAGCTCTTTGGTTTACTATTTTCATTACTTGATTAAAAATCAAAGCGTGAAAATGTTTGTGTATATATTTTGTGAATAAATGTATATATTATAGATATATCAACGTAATTATAGTGGGGGGGGAAAAAGAATATGTTTTGTAAATTAAAGATCGAAGTAAGTATTGAACAAACATTAAATGCTATCCAAATATTATGAATGTAGGGGATTGAATATCATTCTAGAACTGGTCTCCATGGGCCCAGTGGATAAAGTTACTCCTCTTTATATGTATATATGTATGTACACAACATACAAACATATATAGCAATCTGTCAAATTTCCCCGTCAGCATAATTTGTCCCGTTCTGAAAGTATCATTCAGTTCTGTTATTTATTAGTCGCCTAAATAGTATTTTTCTATTCCTAAATATAATACCTATTTTATAGAATAATTTATCTTATAAAATAAATCTTATATTTAGAACTCGATGTGTATTATTCAGTAAGACATAACTTGAAAACTGCGTAGACTAGCCACCCATGGACTCATAACAAAGTCCACTCATATGTCCTTCACGACACTGTGCCTTGGTTTCGATTTCATACCACAAGGGATCCTATGTGGCTGTCTACTTCACCTGTTCAAGTCGTGTAGAATACAAAGACAAGAATTGAAAGAATGCTTGGATATCCAAATCATAATTTTAAAAATAATTTTACAATATACGAAATAAATATATAAAAAATTTATCGATTCTCAAAAAATACTTCTAAAAATACTTTTGGGGTATTCCAAACACTGCCTGAATTAAGATTTAAGAAAAAAAGAGAGAATACAAAGTCGTCAAAACAACCATCAAACAATTCAAAGCCATCCAAGTTATGGATTAGCAAGAAAAAATCCCATATACATTTTTATCATGTTGTCGCTCTTTTACATGCATGATGTGTTGTCATAGAATCTCTCAACCCGTATGCCTTCAGCCAATTTTAGCATGCTAATGAGATGATGATATTCCTCGGTGCTGGAGATGTCGGAAAAACGTGCTTTTTCCAGCAAGCAGAAGCAACACAATGCGAGAAATCAAACGAAGGTGCTCAACACAAACGCAATGCTCGCATACAAGCTGAAAAAAGAAGCCACCACTGGGGCTATACAAACATTTGAAACAAATTCTTCATTAGTTTGATCACAATACACTTCAACAAAAACTGTCCAGAGTTTACATCATGTGAGACGTCAACACTCATTAGCATGGAAACACCGCTTGCTTTGAGAAGAAGCATCCTCCTCCGTAAGAGTTTTCTCCGTCACCAACAAAACTCACCAGCAAAACTTCTTTTTCTGATGAAAAGGCAGCCAAATTAAACGAACGTCAGCATCTGAAAAAATATTGCTTCACCTGTGTATCAGAAAGAAGGTTACGCCAACTTACCCGTAACTTGGCTTCTTCCTGTCTATCGATGTAAGCAAGCAGCTCCTCTTGCCTCATTAGTGCTTCATAGAGAGCCTGTGCAGAAAAAAAGTCAAACAGAAACTCTTGGTCAACAATGAGATTAAAATTATCCTTCACACGGTGAACGGTTCAGCTAAAACATGCATGAAAACAGGCCATGCACTCATAAGCAGCAAAAGCAAACATCATCTAAGCAAACTATAAATTGCATCATCATGACAGATGAAGGCCATGATACCAGGGTATTTGTTTACAAATTTAAAGATTTTAAAGATTAAAGACTACAGAAAGAATACGAGGGGAAAGAAGAAATGAGAACGCTTGGTGTTTCAGATGAGATGCAACTATACATTGCATTATCATGACTGCCCTTTCCGCAAAAATATCACACCCTACCTTCTTTGTGGCAATTAACTCTGCTTCTAAAGCATCTACCCGGTAAACTGCAGCATTCAACAATTCCTCTTTCTCCAAAGGCATCGCAGATGGCTTCGATTGGAGAGTTTCAACCTTCTCTTCAAGCTCGCTCAACCTTTTTAGCATAGAGGGGAGAAGATCTGCCTCTGTACATACTGCAGTTGGTGAAGGAGGACGACAGTCATCCTTGTTTGAGATATCAAGAGCTGTTTCTGAAGTGCTCTGATCATCTTTTCTTGCCGCTGCAGGAAGTTTCTTGGTCACGTGGCATGCGACTGAGCGGAAGAGGGTAAATACAGTCAAGAAGAAAACAGTCAGGGCCACCCAAATCCGAGCTCGAATCCCTTCTGGAGTTTTCTGAATGTCAGGAAGGGGAGGTGCACCTGTATTCAAGGACTCAATTAAAATTTTCCAAGAAAGTTACAGCAAATAATTGAAATCAAGAGAGCAACACTACCTTACTTAAAAGAGGTATTAAATAAAAAACTTCTTGTGTAAAAAATCACACGGATAAAGTTGCTAACCTTTTGAAGTATATGATCTCTGGAGAGATGCTTGATTCTTCCAGCTAGCATCAACAGCTTTGTCCACCATCGGGACATATTCATCATAACCAGGTAGGTTACCAGCATAATTTGTCTTTCCCACTACCTTGGCCTGAGGATAAACCAAAAAGGAGAACAAGTCTCATATAATTGTTATAGGAATGGGCAGCACAGCAAATCCTATTGCTTGGTATTGACAGGAGTTATGCTTTGAACACATCCATAATTTTTATTATTGTCACTGGTTTCAGTAATTTAAAAAGTACACCACTGTAGATTATATCTCCCTCAACGGAGGATTTTTTTTTTTTTTGGGGGGGGGGGGGGTTCATGATTTCTTTATCCCAAAGAAAAAAAGCATGCCAGTAAACACATCACAGCCATAACATATTAGGTGTAAGAATATGACAAAATAGAATTTATTTGGCAGCGATTCTATTTACAAAACTTAGAGATTGCGCAAAAGATCTCAAAACACCAATTGAATGTTTAGTCATCTAACAAAAAGACGGACAAAACAGATCACAGTGTCAACACTTACTTCCTCACGAACAGGGGTCAACCTAAGGTGTGAGTAACTCTTCATTGCTTTTGGTGATGCTATATCTTCAGCTTCAGAACCTGATTCACAAGTGGATGTATCACTGCCTTTTACCTGCTAAGAATTTGCATAATTGTTGTATAGTTATTTAATGAAACCAAGAAAAAGGTTAAGAGGAAGGCATGAAAGAATGAATTTTGCCTGTCTCGGCCAAAGCAATACAAAGAATTACCACAGGATATCGTGGCTTGGCATATGCAATAACCTTCCCTTCGCTATTTAAAACTTTCACCACCTGCCTTGCACGCCTTGCTTCACCACTAAGAACCATCTGCAATAACTCACATGAAATAAACTGTTAGCGCATTGCAAATAGGTTGACAATTGTTGAGCTTAAGGCAAGTAAGGCCAGCTTATAACCTTCAGTATTGCGGGATTTCTCCAGGGCCCCTTATCAGATCTGAGGCAACCTCCCTGATCTGCACATGTGCAAGTACCTCCAAGGAATTCCGGCAATTCACTTCACCAAGAACATAGAATCTTTTGGTGGTTAATAGGATATTATAATGATGCTAGAAACAAATAATGCATTAGTCAATTGGCAAAATATAACACAAGAAAATTATTACATACATGGAGATAGAAAAAAAAACGAATTTTATAGAACTAATCCTTACCTGGCATCAATAACTTCAAGCAATTTGCTCTGGTACTTGTTTCCAAGAACCTAGGTAATATTATAAAAGAAGCATTGAGTAAAAAGAAAGCAATATCAGCAACAAAACAGTAGACAAAGCTCTTAAACAACTAGAAGACAGCATTTTCACATACGTGAATCTTTGAAGTCGTTTTGGGATCTAGAAAAGTCTTGACAGTGTTCCACAGCAGTCTAAATCCAGGGCCAGCATTTATAATAAACATTTGGCAGAGAGTCTGTTTCAAAAATTAGAAAAGGTAAATCATTCACCAAAGCATATGTTAATCTTCCAAACTTCAAATACAGCTGAAATGGGAAAAAAAACAAATGAAAGGAGATCAGTCACATAATAGAAAGAAGCAGGATTGATACCTCAGGGTAATTGTCACCATCGATCTTCTGTAATCGTGTGATGAGGTCCCGGGCAGATTTTGTAAAATTTTTAAGGCCCTGGTAGTTTCACCATGATAAAAAGGTGGGTGAATAATAGAGCATCATAGGCGATTAAAATGAAGCACAAGAAGCCTGAAGGCCCAGCAACGTACCACGCCTTGAACATCTAAGATCGTGGTACTTGAATCAATGTGTTTCTTGGCCGCAATAGTGCAAGCTGGAAACTTTATTGTGAAAGCTTTCTCAAACTCCTGAACATGGTACTTTACATATCTGTCCATGGTTGTAACTTGCATAAGTCTGTTTGGATCAACTTTTCCAAGCCTTTCAATGTAAACAGGTCTTCCCTCCTTATCAACACCATGATGACCATGAGGGTAATAATTCACGACTTCATTTAACTCTTTGAACTCAAAATCCTGATCAAGCGTTAAATATGATGAAGTCAAATCAAACTTTTGTCCATTAAATTTAAATCTGGAAAAGTCCCATCATCATTAGAATTTTATCTGCATCTACCTCCATAATAGTGTCAGCACCAAATTCCTTCCTCCATTGTAGCATATCAGCCCACATATGTTTTGCTTTCTCGATATCAAATTTCCTTGCTTTCAGAAATCTACATAAAACATACAGATGTATATATATTATATATGTAAGCCCATTTGTCAAACCAAGATCATGGAAAAAGTAATTCAAAACCATCCTAAAACAAGCACCTTAACATCATATGGTAATCATCATGTCTTTCTGGAAGCAATTCGTCCATAATCAGTGATTGCCGAAATGCATCAACAGCCCGCAACTCCTCAACATCCCGAACATCCTCAATGGACACAGAGCTGACACGGCCATCACTTTTTCTCCTGCTACTCTTTTTCTTGAGAGAATGCCTAAATTTGGTAGATGCGTTAATTGCTTTCTTTTTAAGAGATCCAATTCTTGTCCTCCTTTCATCCTCAGAGTTCTCAAAATCAGATCTTCTTTCTCTTTTCTCATCACTACCAGAGAAACCCTCAAAACCTAGCAACATCAAATCACAACAATCAACATAATTGACATTTCAAGGAGTACTTTTGAAAATTATATGAGCAGATATATATTGTTCTTAAATGATGGTCAATCTCTTATCACATAAAATCCCAAATCCGATATTTCAAAAATTTTAAATCATTTAAAGCCTGTCCAGTTCAATTGTCAACGGCAGGTAACCCTAATGAACAGATCAATCACTTTGTCCGTAGGTCTAGAAATTTTGAAAGCTAACGACTGAATAATTTCGCCAAATCACTTTGTGGAACCGGGAAACAACGATTTCCATCTGCTTAAGCTGAAATCGACCACTTAAACACGGTGTTTTTTGCTCAATTTGGCTGATATAAATGTTTCCTACCATTTTAATGCTAGCAGACAAGCAAGCAAACCCTAGACTGGGAAATTTGAGACGCATTCACCAGGTATGCAATGAAAACAACACCAACTTTACTACACACCCAAAATGCAAGTGAAAGGAACTCACAAGGTCTAGCAAAACGATCCAAAGGGCCGGACATTGTACCGATAACAATTCTTTACATCAATCAAGACCTCCAATGAGCGTCGCCCCAAGTCCGATCCCAAGACTCCACGAATCGGACACGAAATCGGAGACCAACAGAGAGCGCTGCTGTGCCGAGGAGAAAATTCCGAATGTACCTGATCTACGGCGAAGAATGAGACCAAAACCAAAGCTAGACAACGCGATCTCAAGCTGTAACGCAACAAATGGCAGAACAGCAGACTTCAACAAAACTAAATAAGTTTTATAATTGGAAAAAAAATAATCGCCGCAAAGGTCAGCGAGACAGCTAGAGACAGAGAATGAAAGCAGAGAGATGGCGCTCAGAATTTGGTGCGCTTGGAGGTCGGAGGAGGTAGAGCGTGGGTCCCAGCACGGTACGTACTACGTAGGACACGTGGCGGGCGGAGATATAGAAAAGGAAGAGGAGGAGGAGGAGGGAAATGAAGGAATGAAATCGCCGGCCTTAGGGTTTATAAAGGGAGAGAAGGAAATGCGGAAGGAGCCAAAAGAATGGAAGGGAAGAGATACAACGACAAGGTCAATGATTCGGTCACCCACGGTGAGCTATCACCTCAGTCCTTCCCTGACTCGCGCACCTCTTTTTGAAAACTCCATAATAACGTCTGATTCTCATTTTTGTTTTTTTTCCTAATGATTTTCTTTACGGGTGTGTTTGGGTGACACCTCAAATCATGGTTTGGGGTGTCAATCACCTAAACACCCCCTCTAAAAACCAAAACCATGGTTTTGGAAAAAGTAAAAAATTTTTGCTTTTGGAGAAAAAAGGAGAGTGTGAGAGCCTATATGATATGTATCTTGTTATTTTTTTTATAAACATATTTTTTGATAAACATATTTAATCTTATATTTTATAAATATATATACACATTAATTATTTAATAATTATATTATCTTATGTATTATTAATTATGTTGGTAAAAAATATATTATTAACAATTTTATTCCTTCAAATTAAAATATATCATAAAATCTATTTTTTCTGTAATTATCATATTAACTTATGTCTTTTTTTTTAGTAATTTGTATATATAAAAAGTACTTCTGATAACAACTATCCAAACACTCTCACTTCTCAGAATTACTTTTTTACAAAATCTATTATTCACAGAATCTATTCTCCCCAAAATCTATTCTCCAGAATCACTTTTCCAAACCACGGTTTGGTTTCATCCAAACACACCCTAGAACTTTCATACAAAAATCCTAGAAATAAGCTAAGATGAGGTATTTTATTCCCAAGGGTCCTCCTCCTCCACGCCGGTCCAAACCTACGCTAATCTTTTTCTGTTTTTTGTTTTAATTATTATGAAAAATAGCTTAACCTGGGTAATCAAGTGAAATTTGAGGCGAATTATGAATTTATCTTTTTTTCGTTTTCCCCTTCAAGAATTTTAATATGTTAATTTTCCCCAGTGGTATGTTATGGTGTGAAAATACTGAAGTAATCCTTTAGTTGAGATTATTAAAAATTATAAGAATTTGGGTCACCCAATTTAAAACGTTGCCATCAAGAATGCCAATCTTAAAAAATGTAAGGGGTACCCCGTGAGAAGCAGTAAGGAAAAGTGGAGAAGAATCCATCAGACCACGGCTGTATACAGTACAACAATGTAATGTATTGGTCAAAATAAAACAGGGTGGATCGATTGTTTTGACTTCTGAGAGATTATTTTCTTTTGGATTAAAATCTTTGGGAAAAAAAGTAATTAATAATTTTTCTGAGCGACGCTTCATAATTTGACTTAGAATCCGTCCATCTATCTTTTTTTTTTTGGAAAAAAAAAAGTCCATGCTGTATAGCTTTGTTTGGAGGGCATTATATTTTCCAATAAGAAGTTAATTAAATTGATATGGATTAAATCAAAACACAAATTACATCCATGTACAATATATATTATACATAAGAGATGTATAGAAAGCATTACTCCTAATCATGACGTTAAATTTCTTGGCAGGCAAAAAAACACATGGTCATAATTTAATTAAAGTGTGAAAATCTACCCGTTTCTCAAATTAACAAAACAGTTACTAATATCTTCTTCTTTTTTTTAATGGGGGGCAAAAGGACTTGAAGCGACGTAAGGAATGTCGTACAACCAGTTGAGCTTGGTGTCTTTGACCTTCCTTTATGGACGCATTCGCTTCTTTTAATTATGAGTAGTATTATTATTTTATTATACTATTTTATTTATTTATTAGCATTATCATTGTCGCACCCGCCTCGTTTTCCTCGCCTTCTCCGATATGAGTACCAATCATCCTCGTATCTCGCCGCCTCTGTTTTTTTCCCCCCGCAATTTATGCGCAGATGTGCTCTTCCTTCTCACATTATAAAGGTATTTTACGCCCCCTTTGTTTTAAAACTTAAATATTAAAATCTTAACGTGTTTTAATTTTGATAAAATACTCTTCTGATCTTTAATATAGGACTTAATTATTGAGTTATTTTTTTATCCTAAATATAAGATATATTTTTCATATTTATCAAATTATCTCTAAATTACCCCTATGGATACTCCTTCAACCATAATTAAGTAAAAAAAGGAGAGGGGATATTAAGAAAAATGATTATGGTGTTTTACGAAAAACATGTCACATTTCTTACAATTAACTAACTTGCCTAACTTTCTTAATCTAATCAAATTAGTTAAATGGGTCTTATATTAAGGATCAGAGGATTATAACTTGAATTTGTCTAACAATTTATTTTTTTTATTTTTTAAATTCAGGAAAAGAGTAAAATTTTAATAATAAAAATTTAAAAAAAAATTAATAATCAATTACGGTCAATTTATAAAAATATTAAAGAGCAGTACATCAACAAATCACAGACATTATTGTGGCGTTTTGAAATCGGACCACAAAACAAGTTGCAAGTTATTCCTTCATTTTGATTAGATAAAGGTTTTAAAAGAGATGCTATGAAACAAACTAATTAAATTCAGGAAAAATATTGAAAATAAATCTCTATTTAAAAAGTTTTGTTTATAAAAATTAAAGATAATTTTATCTGAGGTGTTTAGAAAGAGAAATTAGATTTTAAATTTAATATATCGTGAGACTAGTACCATTAGGCGCGAGAGAACAGGATGATATACATAGGTAGGAGCAATTGTTTCTGAGGGGTCGGAGTATGCTATGGGTAGCCTTAGCCAGTAATCAGAATCACAAAGGGTAATTGAAAAGCGTAAAAGCATGGTTTCTGGCCCCTAAAAAGGAAAAAGACAACCAAGGCATAATCATTTGTTGGAAACACGATGTCTTGGTGCGCGCGTCCTTTTTTTTTTTAATTTCATTTTAATCATACAATTATTTATTAATTTATTTTTTTGACCTTATTAATTTATTTAACATAATGTAAGCAGGAGCAGCCTACATATTACTCCTCTTGTTCTATTTATAAGACATCCTCAGCATATTTCATGCATATCAAAAAAATCTTAAACTTCACTAATTCTCATTTAAAATTTAATACTTTTTTAATTTTATCCTTATTTAATATATATTATATCTAATGTAAACAAAGTCAACAAAATAATAAATGAAGGGTAAAATTGTATATCCATACAAAAAATTTCTCTCAATGTCTTATAAATAAGACAAAAAAAATCTTTTCTCCATCTTATAGATAGGACCAGAGGAGTACACTTAACACATACTTGGGGCTACCTCTGAAAATGCTTAGTTAAATTATTTTTTAACTTTTCCTTCCCAAAATGAATGATTAATTATTATTTTAAATAATTACAAGTAATTTTAATATATTTTTAAGGATATTTTAGATAAAATAGATTTTTTGCCAACAGATAAAATAGGCATTGTATTAGTTGCTTATAAAACTCATAAATTGCCTTAATTATTGAAAAAAAAATCCTCAAGACCTGGAGATGTTGTCCATCATTGTGATCACGACTTTTTTTCGGGTCAAGTCTCGTCACGGTTTACACAGAAGATTTCATCGAGAAGGCAATATATTATGGAAAACTAAAATAAGAATGTAAAGTTTTACAGGGAAAGATTAGGCCAAAAACGAGCATAGTAAAAGCAACTAGAGAATAATGCCCCTCGATAATTATATTTAACTCACACGATATAGCACTGCACCTTTTGGGTTCCTTTGAAGGTGGCGTGGCCATTTTTATATTTTAAAATAATAATAATAAATAATAAGTAATAAATAAAGTCGTGCCGCGTGAGATGATGTCGATGCATGCTTCGAAGTTCAAAGTTCAAAGTTCAAACTGCGGAGTTGTGCGTGCATTGTGCGGCCAGCTAACATTTTTGCGATAAGATAACCAAAATTAGCACGCATTGTGCCCACTTAAATAAAATATTACACATAATTATACTTCTTCTTTTTTTTTAATTGAATTTTAACCAAATCAAGTAACTCTTTTTCAAATTTATTTATTATAATTATAAAAATGCTTTGATTATTTTAAAATTAATATATTTTATTGAAATATTTTACTTTTTATTTCTGCAATCCATGAAAATTACTTCCGAAAGGACCAGAGAGCTTTGGATAAGTATAATGGAAGATTTTTTTTTTTTTTGCCATCACGTATAACGAAAGAATTAAATAAATTTTAAAAAAACAAAATATACATCTATATGATTTAATCAGAGCACAAAATACACGCACACAAAAAGAAAGATTAAAAATGCAGGGGCCAAAAAGAAAAGCATGCTGTAAGTGTTGTGATACGAGGGACAAATGGGAGGAGCACAGCGTGATTTGAATTGGACCAACAAACACATTAGAATTTGTTTGAAATAGTTTATAAGTAGTTTTTCAATTGTGATTTACGTGAAATATATTTATAAGTGATTTTTAATCGTGATGATAAATAAAGCCTTATTATTATGCTTTTTTGTGGTCATTTTCAACTTTACTGTTCCACCGAACCTTTCCCGATTTAATTATACCATTATGCGGTAACTTGCTTCTGAAGAAAAGCTCCACTTGGCTTTAATTCGGTGACAAACCATTGGATTCAATTTTTTTTTTTTTTCACTGAATGCCATGCTCATCAATCTATCTATCGGAAACGGGATAAGATGGACCATTCGGATTGAGAATGGCCACCTTCTTAATATAATTACTATCTCGGATTTTTAATATATGATTTTATTTGATTTTTATTTTGATCCTAAATATAATATCCTAATTCACTTTATTTCTCATATTTATCTATTTTTTTCTAAGATAGTCCTTCTAGTAATAATAGTTCTAACTAATAAACTTGATTAGTAAGGATATTTTAGGAAAAACAACACCTATTTAATACAAATAACTAACTTAACTTATTTTCTTAATGTATTCAAATTAGTTAATTAGTTCTTATATTTAGGACCGAAGTCAGTAAAAAGTTAATAAATAATATAATTGCATGCCACCGACTCAAATAATTGAGACTTATTGCTGCTG